TCCGGGGTAGAATAGGTCTTCCGCTACACCAACGCTTTAACCACTAGGCCACCCGACCACCATGGCGCAAGCGGCCATTATAAGAATCCCTTATACCCGACTCAGTATTCGACGTCACGACAATCATTTGTTTGTAAACTGGCATCATCCCGAGGCAAGGGAGTTAATTGATTATAATAGTCCAGTTTCCACCCTTGCCGAACTAGGCTGGGATTTCGTGTCTCAATCGTAGCGCCACCAATGGCTATTACGAGTTATGTCCCGTCTATGTCCCTCCTATTGACCAATCAGATCCCACCTCTTCTATCGCTTGCATTTGTTTAAAAAAATGACGACGTAAAGTCAAGACGATCTGATCGATAATCAAGAACAATATTGTAATAAAAAGGGTCTTACCTTACAATAATTAGATTCCTTGATTAATAACATGAAAAGATTTTTAAAATATTTCTCGACGCCAAGTGGACAGTATGCTTGCTTTGCAATTCCTGCAATCAACCGATATCTGCACGTTGAAATCCATGTTATTTACCAACCGGATGTCGATTTTGTTCCGCGATTATGATAGGACCATGTTAGACTCGTTAGTCGAGCCAAATTATAACTTCGGACTTCAAGTCTATTTCAGCAAGGGTTGAAACTGGACTTTCATAGTCAGTGAAGTCCCTTGCCTTGGGAAGATGCATGGTTGTAACTTGGCGGGGAGGCTGTGACTGCTAAAAGCAATAGTAAAGCATTCTCCGCGATGTGAGGAGTTTGTGATGTACGCGACGTGGACAGTAGTCAGACATCTCAACCGATAGAGTCCCGTGTCGTGAACTTTTGGCATACAGCAAGAAGGGATGATAAGCCCTTCTTATCTCGCCCCAACCCTCCCCCCTCGCCAACACTGAACGAATATCATGCTAAGATTTTCCCGTTGAATGCAGGTGTTTCTATCTTGATTGTGCTTTTGGTGGCTGTTATGAACATGTTTTTAGAATCTGCATCTGATCTTTTCTCATTGTCGACCTCGGAAAAAGCTATCTACTTTATTGCCAGGTCGCTATAAACAGAACAGTCAATGGTCGCACCATAAAGTTCGCATGTACGCCATCTTTTTCCAACTTTGAATTCAGATAATATGCAAATTTTAAGTGAGCAATAACTAAATGACAAAGCTTGTCCCCTTTAAATGCCGTTTTATTACAACTCGTGCACTTTAAGACGTATATATACTGGGAGAGAACAAGTAAAATATAAATAATGCTGGCCTTTGCTAGATTACAGCTAGGTATTATCGCAGCTATGCTATGAGAGCAGTCACAAGTGATTATGTTTTCAGTGTTCGATTAAATATAGATGATAAGAGAGAAAGTATTTTTTCGTTAAATTTCTTGTAACGTAACACATTTGTAAGCTGACCTTTGTCATTGTCACTGACCCATGATCAATTGTTTGTACTGCCTGTAAAGCCTTGTTGTTTAAGCGTTCGCTCGTCACGCAGTAGACCCGGGTTCGATTCCCCGCATGGACACAATTTGTGAAGCCCATTGCCATTGTCCCCGTCGTGATAGAGTTGAAATATTGCTTAAAGCGGCGTAAAACATCACTTACTTTCCCAGCAGTGAATGGGTACCCAGTAGGATGAAATGGCTGTTAACTTCTAGCGCCCAGCAGGCAGCTTGGGTTGTTTACTCCCCAGGGAGCTGAGAATGATTGTTGAGTTCACACTGATTCATTGACCAGGGTAAACGTGCCTAAGCGCTTCCAGCATGCCTATGCCTGGAGTACAGCGCCATATAAATGAATTACTATCTATTCATTGGAGTCAAGGAGTCTGTTATCAAGCCTTGTCTTTTATAAAAGAGGATAGAAAGAGGATATTGTGACGGAAAGAGGAATGAAAGTAAGACAGGGACAGTAAAGGGTGACTGCAAGATGGGATTTTATGGAGGGAAAGCATAGATAAAAAGCAGAAGGCTCGTAGGTTTAGAGATACAATCAGGCGGAGTGAGGTGTAAGGTAATATCCTTAGGCAACACCATGTGTGAGGTCACGGGTAGCTATAGCAGCGGTGTTGTTTATTCACTACTCGTAAGCTGAACTGCGTATAAGCAGATGACATCATCAGTGTTTATATCCCAGTATGTGTCCAGTTTCAGATAGACTGATATATTTATTTTGGTTCTAAGTCAGCAAATAAATGATATAATGATATAAGGACTGCGTATATAATAAGCAATTCATGAAATATATAAAAGCGACAAAACATTTCCATAATCATAAAAAAAATCTCTTCTAAAAGCAGAGTCCATTGTACGATTCTGACTATATCATGAGCACGTGTTTATGAATCACTATCAAATAGTGATGATACTGGGTGACCGGTGGAATCCGTCACAAAATATGTATTTACCAAAAATATTTAATGACTTCAATACTCCTTGAAAACGAGTCTGTTTTTACAATAATGGACAGCATCATTAATAGTTTCAAGGAAAACTATCTTCTTACGGTATATCTCTCATATCTGTCCAGAACGCTACCTTAAAGAATATTTGCATAAATTTCGATTCGCATTGACAAGTTTTGATGTAGTTATCAAAAACGTTTAATGAAAGTGAACGGCATGAAGTAGAAACGAAAGGTATCGGGTGAGCGAGTGAGTATGGTTTTACGCCGATATTTGCAATATCCCAGCAATATCACGGCGGGGGACACCAGAAATGGGCTTCACACATTTTACCAATATCGGGAATCGACCCCGGTACTTCGGCGTGACGGGCGAACGCTATAACCACTAGGCTACCCGACAGCCCCGAAAGGATAAGGTAAACGTGTAAGTTAAGGCAACACCAGTTCCCTCCCCTTTGCCCAGATTCACCCTAATTATGATTCTGTTAGCTGCTACTTCAGCATTCTTGTTTGACTCTTCTCCCTCAGTAAGCAGGTACGTCATAATTTGATAATTTATTACAATGCCGGAAAATATTCGGTCGATATTATATTATATGTGGACTCCATTCGGCCCAAAGGCAAAACCATGACAACAATTATGTGAATGGATCGCGAAATACTGTTTATTGTCGCATTCATTCCAACTCAGTAAAGCAGTATGTGAGTATACCAATAGTTTACGCCGCATGTTTTTGTTTGTTTGTTGTTTAATGCCGCACTCAGCAATATTCCAGCTATATGATGGCGGTCTGTAAATAATCGAGTCTGGACAAGACAATCCGGTGATTGACATCATGAGCATCGATCAAAACAATTGGGATCGATGACATGCATCAGCCAAGACAGCGAGCCTTCACCACCCGATCCCGTTGGTCGCCTCTTACGACAAGCATAGTCGCCTCTTACGACAAGCATGGTCGCCTTTCACGGCACGGTAAGCAATGGTTGCTGAAGACCTATTCTAGCCCGGATCTTCACGGGTCCTACGCTGCATGTACACGTTTCTTGATTCCCGTTTTCGCAAAATCTGGTATCATCACATACATACCCCTTTCGTGTCATTTCTGTGATCATTCATATAAATTGTCCTATTTTGTCCTTTACGACCAATGGAATCTGTTTCGCCGGATAATCGAGACTGGTTGTTATCTGGCGTTGACGTTTTATACTTCAGTTTAAATCGATAAGGGGATATCTTGGTTGGCTTCCCTTTCTTATCTGCAACCGCATATGGCTCGATATTGGCCCTCAGCGTTACACGTGTGACAGGTTGGGGTGAATGAGGACATATTTATTTCTTTTGGATCTTTCGGCTTACTATATTCAGCCTTGAGTTCTTTACTTGGTTTGGAAAAGACCCGAGTATTATTGTCATTTACAACGGTTTTTTTTATTTGGTTTGGTTTGTTGTTTTACGCCGCACTCAGCAATATTCCAGCTATATGACGGCGGTCTGTAAAATAATCGAGTCAGGACAAGACAATCCAGTGATTTACATCATGAGCATCGATCCACGCAATTGGGATCGATGACATGCATCAACCAAGTCAGCGAGCCTGACCACCCGATCCCGTTAGTCGCCTCTTACGACAAGCATAGTCGCCTTTTACAGCAAGCATGGGTTGCTGAAGACCTATTCTACCCCGGAATCTTCACGGGTTCAGCATTGGCAGAACAGACATAGTCATCATTGATGGAATCAGTAGTTTGGATTGTATTAACAACAGCGAATCTATATCACGACGGGGGACCTCATTAATGGTGTACTGAAATCGGAAATGGACCCACTTATTGCGAGACTTTCAAGACATTTTCCTTGACATTTAGTGGAAATCAACGACTTCGATGACAATAATAATAATGATTATTATACCGTGACTCACCGCCTAGCTACTTGGTAGACTGGACGACCGTCAAGCAAACAAAGACTTGTACACAGTGATTGATATGATTCAGTAACTTCGCCATTTGTGTTTGCATGTATATATGTATATTTTGATGTTATTTGTGTATGCGTGTATATATGTATACTTGTTTGTTTTTTGTTTACCGCCGCATTCAGCAATATTCCAGCTATGTGACAGCGGTCTGTAAATAATCGAGTTGCTGAAAACCGATTTTGACCCGGCTCTTCACGGGTGTATATACATGTAAATCTTTACAGTTCCGTCATGTTCATGTGTAACAGCAATGTGTGTTTACATGTCTATATGTATTGGTTACATGCAAATATAGGTGTGTTCACTTCCTTCGAGACCCGTGAAGATTAGGGGTAGAAAAGGTCTTCAGCAACCCATGCTTGCCGTTAAAGGCGACTATGCTTGTCGGAAGAGGCGACTAGCGGGATCGGGTGGTCAGGCTCGCTGACTTGGTTGAAGCATGTCAACGATACCAATTGCGTGGATCGTTGCTCGTGATGTCAATCACTGGGTTGTCTTGTCCTGACTCGATTATTTACAGACCGCCATCATATAGCTGGAATATTGCTGAGTGCGGCGCAAAACAACAAACCAACCAACCAACCAACTTCCTTCGAATGATATCTACTGTTTCTGTTGTAGTGTTCCCCACTATGGCGTCCAGATGGACTTTGGTGTTTCTAGTCGTTCACTTTGCAAGTCTGTTTCTGACTGCAATAGGTAATCATATATTTCATATTATCATGTGTTCAGTATAATGTTTCTGAGTAGCCGTTTCAACTCTGTTGGAACACATACTGACTTTGCCTTTTATCTGCCATTGATATTAACGTGTTATTAGCGAACTGCGGCTTGACAGCCTGTGGTAGTGGGTCCGAATCCCGGTTCGCCCCGATGTTTCACCAAAGTGGTATGTGCCTGAGGCCTACATCACTTCGGGCTTTCCTTCCACATTAGGGCGGTCGGGTAGCCTAGTGGTTAAAGCGTTCGCTCATCACGCCGAAGACCCGGGTTCGATTCCCGACATGGGTACAATGTGTGAAGCCCATTTCTGGTGACCCCCGCCGTGATATTGCTGGGATACTGCTAAAAGTGGCGTTAAACCATACTCATTCACTCACTCCTTCCAACTTAAGCTGACACGCCGTGATATAACTGGAATACTGTTAAAAGTGGCATTAAACCCAACTCACTCACTCACAGTGCAGTGTTTAGCGTGCCAGGATCCCATGACCGTGGGTCAAATGCCGGATACGCCTTCATTATGACCCTTGGTTTGGCAGCAACATAGCCTTAGGTTTCATGAATCTAGGACCTCCATCACTTAGGAAGTTTCCTCCTCAATGATATAGCCGCAATACTGTCCAAAGCGGCGTAAAACACAACTCACTCCTTCCTGGCCATGATTCAGTCAATAATTGTAATTAAACTGGATATTAGGACAGGGACAGGGGCAGGGAAAGGGGCAGGGGAAAGAGCGTTGGAAGGGCGGGGGTAGGCACAGGGGCAGGCACAGGGGCAGGGACAGGGACAGGGGTAGGCACAGGGGCAGGGGCAGGGACAGGGACAGAGACAGGGACAGGGACAGGGACAGGGACAGGGGCAGGGGCGGGGGCAGGGACAGGGACAGGGACAGGGGCAGGGACAGGGACAGGGGCAGGGGCAGGGGCAGGGACAGGGACAGGGACAGGGACAGGGACAGGGACAGGGACAGGGACAGGGACAGGGGCAGGGACAGGGACAGGGACAGGGACAGGGGCAGGGGCAGGGGCGGGGGCAGGGACAGGGGCAGGGGCAGGGACAGGGACAGGGGCAGAGACAGGGACAGGGGCAGGGACAGGGACAGGGGTAGGCACAGGGGCAGGGGCAGGGACAGGGACAGAGACAGGGACAGGGACAGGGACAGGGACAGGGACAGGGGCAGGGGCGGGGGCAGGGACAGGGACAGGGACAGGGGCAGGGGCGGGGGCAGGGACAGGGACAGGGGCAGGGGCAGGGACAGGGACAGGGACAGGGACAGGGACAGGGACAGGGACAGGGGCAGGGGCGGGGGCAGGGACAGGGACAGGGGCAGGGGCAGGGGCGGGGGCAGGGACAGGGGCAGGGGCAGGGACAGGGACAGGGGCAGAGACAGGGACAGGGGCAGGGACAGGGACAGGGACAGGGGCGGGGGCGGGGGCAGGGACAGGGACAGGGGCAGGGGCGGGGGCAGGGACAGGGACAGGGACAGGGACAGGGACAAGGGCAGGGACAGGGACAGGGACAGGGGCAGGGACAGGGGCAGAGGCAGGGACAGGGGCAGGGGCAGGGACAGGGACAGGGACAGAGACAGGGGCAGGGGCAGGGACAGGGACAGGGACAGGGGCAGGGGCGGGGGCAGGGACAGGGACAGGGACAGGGACAGGGACAAGGGCAGGGACAGGGACAGGGACAGGGGCAGGGACAGGGGCAGAGGCAGGGACAGGGACAGGGGCAGGGACAGGGACAGGGACAGGGACAGGGACAGGGGCAGAGACAGGGACAGGGGCAGGGACAGGGACAGGGACAGGGGCAGGGACAGGGGCAGGGGCAGGGACAGGGACAGGGGCAGGGACAGGGACAGGGACAGGGACAGGGGCAGAGACAGGGACAGGGACAGGGACAGGGACAGGGGCAGAGACAGGGACAGGGACAGGGACAGGGACAGGGACAGGGGCAGAGACAGGGACAGGGGCAGGGACAGGGACAGGGGCAGAGACAGGGACAGGGACAGGGGCAGGGACAGGGGCAGAGACAGGGACAGGGGCAGGGACAGGGACAGGGACAGGGGCAGGGACAGGGGCAGGGGCAGGGACAGGGACAGGGGCAGGGACAGGGACAGGGACAGGGACAGGGGCAGAGACAGGGGCAGGGGCAGGGGCAGGGGCAGGGACAGGGACAGGGGCAGAGACAGGGACAGGGGCAGGGGCAGGGGCAGGGGCAGGGACAGGGGCAGGGACAGGGGCAGAGACAGGGGCAGGGGCAGGGGCAGGGGCAGGGACAGGGCATTGTGGCATCATGGTAACCGATGGCGTCACAATGGCCCGCAAAGCAGCATGATGCAATTTCATTGTAGCGATTTCTCCTTGGAGTTATCATTTCATCTCACCCAAGCGATATCTCGTGTGACAGCCAGTTTTGGAAGATAAAATAACTGTTCAAAGCGACGTTAGCCAAACTCCTTGCAGAGAACTCTGGTTCGATTCCCACGCGTATACATCTGTCAAACCCAGTACTTGTGGTCAGTGCCGGTATGATACGTCTTTGTGGTTATTTATTAAAATCAGTGTCATACCCAAATGGTTTACTTTGTAACAGGTGAAACATGCAGTTATTCTGACCAAGTAGGGAAGAAAGGTCCACAGAATCTGTGGAGAGGTTTTAAAGCGACTGCGACCCTCGATGCTTGTAAGACCTTCTGTGGAACGCAGTCAGTGTGTAAAGCGGGAGAATTCAACAGTGGAAGCTTTTCTTGCTACCTTTACTCTTCGGAACCGACACTCACTGCTGACACTCAAACGACGTTCTTTCTACGCACGTGTGTAGCAGGTAAGAACATTTCTTCCTGTTTGGTAGCCGATGTTGTTATTGATAGACTATTAGTAATACGCTAACATTGGCCCGCATCATACAGAACCAGACCAATACGGGATTTGAGCGGGCAAGTACAGCTTTGTCGGGCCAATACGACTTTTGCGCGTGATTGCATTCCTTGCTCTTGATGTTGTCCGAGTCGTACAATCGACTCGCTTTTGGCAGAGATTTCTTATGACTATGGAGAGTTTTTTTTGTCGCTTTAATTACAATGCAATAACAAGGCGATAGACGTAGATCCTGTATGGGGTGTCTTGATCCCCTTGACTGGTTCTACTTGGAAACATTTAGGTTAGGTTGTCAATTAATGTCATTAAATGGGTCTTTTCATATTGGCCTTATAGGTCCGAGGTCAAGTCATAATTCAGCCTGCCTCGGGGTAATGTGACTGACCGTCGATCTATTACAAGGCCAACATAAAAACACCAATTTATAATATGATGATATTATGATTAAATGCAGTAGTACACGAATCATACTTGCCCCATTGTCCAGTGGATGTCGCGTAGCAGGGCGAGACAAGACGTAAGTGAAGTCCACATGACCACAAAGGTATCGTTTGATGACACGTAACATTATTAATTATGCAAACTGGACAATCTTCAGCTTCCATCAATTACGCCCCTTTGTCAAAGGTATAATGGCTGTAAATTACTTGTATACATGTTGTGCAATTTGTACGGGTGGCGGTGAACGCTAGTTTGAGGTGAGCTGCGGATTGATTGCGATTGAGCCGTGACGCTGGTTTAAGTTGAACGTCTTACAGGAGGACGTTGAGCCACATCGATGGTTTGAGGTGACCGTGTTCCGAATGGCAGTTGAGTCTACGCTGGTTTTACGTTGAATGGCGTACAGGGGGCGGTTAAGTCGTTACGTGTTCGAGGTGTCCGTTTTACGGGTGGCGGTTGAGCTGTAACGCTGGTTTGAGGAAAACGTTTTACGGTGGCGGTTGAGCTGTTACGCTGGTTTGAGGAAAACGTTTTTACGGTGGCGGTTGAGCCTCTTAATAGGAAGAGTCCATGTATTCGATGTTGGGAGACGGAGAAGAAATAAGGTATGTTATGATGCATGAGTCATGCATGCATTTGCTACACTCCCACAAACGCTGTCCTGAAGAAGCTCTTTACTGTGCCTTTTTTTTTATCTATTTCTTCAAAATTTTATTCCAAACAAACGTACAGGTAACAATATATCACCTCGGTCAACCAGGGTAATCCATCCCAGCAGTTCCCTATATTGTCTAAAGGACCAAGGGGGATGAATGGCCAAGTCGTGAAAGGCGCCGCAATTCGCTGTGCAGAGTTGCGGCCCTTGGAGACGCCATAAACCTATGGGTTCGAATCCCGGTTCGCTTCGATTATGTTTCTAGGTTTGTCAGCACCATTCCCGTGCTCGTGGGTTTCACCGAATGACCTGCATCAGTTCGGGCTTTCCTCCCACATTAAGCTGACACGCCGTGATAGAACTGGAATACCGTGTGAAGCGGCGTTAAACCCAACTCACTCACTCACTCACTCACTCACTCACTCACTCACTATACAGTGAAACCCCGTGAATCAGGACGGAACCGTTCCCAGCAACATTGTCTGAATTAAAAAATATCTGAATAACAAACATCTAAATGGAGTGATATTCCTTTGTAAATATGAAAGGAAACAGTAACAGAGTAACAGATGAGGAACAGTATAGGGTCTAGCGATGTTTCACTTTACCCTGAACAAAGTTTAATGTGTACAGTAGAGAGCTGCTTGAATGTCTGTGTCAGTGTCCATCCTCACACAATGTTAACACATGGGTGCATGGTTCCCGCTTACCCCACTGCTGCCTAGTCGTTAACGCTCTTGTAATGTTGTCCAATATGCTGGTGGATGTGTTAGATACTTTGTAACCGTACATGCACTGAACTTAAAAAAACGGGCGAACTAGAGTACTAGTACTAACATATTTTTTATCATTTTTTTAGGAAGGAAGAAATGCCTTTGATATGTCCGAGCTTTACTGTTAGATCACATCACTGCATGTTCTTCAAGTTTGTCCATTTCCAAACGTTGCAGCTCCCTGCTTTTTTTAATGACTGACAGCCTTCGTGGTCTAATGGTAGAGCGCCTGCCTGAGTCTCCCCGGAGAGCGGAAGGTCCGGGGTTCGATCCCCGGTCGCGTCATACCAAAGACGTTAAAAGATGGTACTTGTTGTTACCCTGTCTGGCGCTCGGCATTAAGGGGATAAAACAAGGACTGGTCTGCTCGGGGTCAGTATACTGTGTCTGAGTGGGGCATTCATGCGGCATGGTATCTCAGTAGGAAAGCACTATTAATTGGCATCAGTCCGGATTAGCAGAAGCACACACACACACACACACACACACACACACACGCACGCACGCAAACACGCACGCACGCAAGCACATACACACACACACACACACACACACACACACACATGCATGCATGCACCTCGCTATCTGAGTGCAATAATCTTGGACGCGACGTAAAACCCCATTTCACCTCACCTATAGCATCAACGGATGTGCATTACTACTAAATTGCCATGGGTGTCTCAGTGGCCAAATAACATACTGAATCAGCAGTGCCAAGATTTGTTGCTGGGAGTATTTTGTGCTCCGGAATTCCCAGGGTAGAGTAGCCGTTATTGTACTTACCACTTTAACACAGTCTTTAATACTTTAAGTGGTAACGTGAGGTCCACTCGTACACTGAACCATAATTGGCTGTGCAGAGTTGTGTCACTTATATGTGCCAGAAACGTATGTTCGCGGTTGTTCTAACCTAAGATTCGCCTCGACAATGTTTCTAGTTTTGTCAGCGACATTCTCGTGCTCTACGGCCTGACCTACTCACACCATTTGCAATCAAAAATGTTTGCTTGTTTCCCAACGCCGCGAAGCATGTGACTGTATGTGCCACCTCTTTCCTGCCAAGATATATTCCTATCTGTTGACAACATTGTGCTATTCAAAATGCCTTTTTTATCCATATATTTACAAACCACGACTGCTTCGTCATTGTGATAAAACACGAAATATGCTTACAGCTGTTTGTCTGCGCTTCTGCTGGGACATGCCTGGTTGTACATGTTACGACTAACACAACGACCCGCACAACCATTCACTGGCGCGAAAAAGACAAAGCGAAATTGCGTTCCGACATTCAGACTTATTTACGTCATTCCACCTGAGTAGGAGGATGTAGTGACGGTTTTGAAGTTACATGTACATTTACGTTGATTGGTTTATTTGTGACTGACAAATTTCGAGAATTAAGCAACTCTCATACATACACGAATCGTTTGCAAACTTCACTCAACGTCAAGTCCTCGAACGTCACCGTCACAAACATCTTCTCAGTAACATGCTTGCTCCTACCAATAATGGCGACTGAATTTGTTCAAGAGGTTAGAATCCGATTTCAATATGGCCGTCACAGCAGCAGTGATGAAACTTGGTATGTGTTAAGTTAGTATTTGGACATTGGTAGAAATAGACGATGTATGCAAAAGTGCATTTCCCTTTTTTTTGAATTTGTTGATCCAAATTAGCTGAAATAGCATTAATGTTTGTCTCCATAATATGATTGTATAAAATCAATGAAATAAAAAAGTAAAATAAAATGATATAAGCCTTTAATATAATTAAGCAAATTTCTTTTGTGCTGATTAAATGCACTGGCGAAATTTTTGTCATTAAGTCCTTATTATATATATGCAAAGAAAGTATTTGGATCAACGTTGACAGCAACCTTTCTTTAGTCACTGTCTCCAGTGAAATTTCGACTGTTGTCTACAGATCCAGGTGAGCTACAGTCCCGTGCCACTGTTCATGAACATTTAATAATACCATTCAAGAAAACGAAAGACTGCTAACTAAATGATTGAACAAATGAAAGGGATTCGATTTGTGAACGTAATTGGATTCACTTGGATTGGTATAGTGAAAGTGATTAAATTTACCACATGATTTGAATGGTTCAACAGATTTGATTATTGAATGTAATTTTTGAAAGTGCTTTGATTGGTAAAATGATTTTTTGGTGAGTGTTATTTGATTGGTAACGTAATACAGTCATGGATCCACCATGGTTTGTTGTTATGTTCGAGACAGGACTAGTTTACCACTGCTTCTGAACACTCATTTTTTTCTTTGAAAGAAGAAGTCGAACAATGTAATTGTTTGTTACATGACATATTTTTTACGACTTCCAGCATGTCCATCGAATAAGTATTAGGGATGTAAAACCTCACGAGAAGGATTACTGATTCCAGAATTTAAAAAACCCCTTATCATTATAGACGATATTCATATTGCCAGCATCAATAAATACAGATTACCAGTACCAAACATAATTGATTACCATGATATTCAGGTATAATAGTATATACAAGTAATGATGAGTATATATCATTATCTTGATCATATTATTGTTTTATCTAATATAATCATGGATTTCGTTCGTTTGTTGTTTAATGCCCAAGTCAGCAATATTCAAGCTATATGAATATAGCGGTCTGTATATAATCGAGTCTGGGCCTTCTAAGCAAATGGAATGCAATGACATGCATCAACCAAGCCAGCGAGCAAGGATTGCTGTAGAACAATAATTATTCTTACCCGGACCTTCACGGGGCTATAGACACGGGTGCCTGGGTGGGTTTGGTGTAGGCGTGTGTTATATACACGACATGTCAGTTCCATACATGTGCGTCTAAGTATCACCAATGCGGTAAAAGTCAATAGTCTCCCTCCCATGTCAAGCACTCACGCCGTGATATAACTGATATCCTGTCCAACGCGACGTTAATTTAAAACCAATCTCACTCACTCATATAATGCATATTGAAAGATTAATGTAATTAAATATTTTTTCAATGCATGCTTATAATGGTTTATTGCGTTAGTATTTACACGTCTCATATTTCTTCAAAGACTTACTAAAGTGCCAATGTCGAAAACGTTGGTTACTTTGGCTTATAATGTAATGCATCTCCCATTAATATAAGCACTGTATTTCCAAAAATGTATTTCTATCAGAAACGACCACTGCAGCGGCAACTGTTACACCAACGACATCACATCCTACGACAGTAGCAACGTCTACGTCGACAGGTATACACAACTGCTTTGGGCCAGGACATGCAATCATGCAATCATGATACAAATTTATATAACAATGCAATTTTATTGTAACGAACATAAATCTGTGCTTTATGTATCAAGTAAAAAAAATGGTTGGAATGTAACACGGAGACAGTTAACCTCATTATAATTAATTGTTTGCATCAGCAACGACGACCGGAACGACCATTGCTACATCAACTACACCAACACCCACAACACTTACATCCTCCATGATGATGATCCAGATTATGATACCCATCCATGATCATGTTAAAAGACTTGTTAGGACCCTCAGTATTGTTTATAGTCCGATGCCACAGCACATGTCCAGGTGCAAATATCATATACAGGTGTGTGTGTGCCTGTGCGTGTGTGTGTGTGCGTGCGTGCGTGTGTGTGTAAGGGGGAGGGGGGGGGGGGGGGGGGGGGGGGTGGCGGCGTGTGTTATAATTCCTGGCCTGTCAGCTCCATACATGTTCTTATAAGTTTCACAAAAGTGGTATAGTCTAAAAGTTTGCTTCGGGCTTCCTCCCGTATTAGGCTGTCATGACGTGATATAACTTTAATACTGTTCAACGCGACGTTAATTTAAAAAACATTTCATACGGAATGCATATTGTAAGATTAATGTAATTATATATTTTTGTCAAGTCATGCTAATAGTAGTTTTTAGCGTAAGTAGGTGCATCTCATAGTTCTGCAAAGAACTGAAACAGTGCCTAAGTCGAAAACGTTGCATATTGTGGCTTTTAAAGTTCTTCATCTCCGAATAATATAAGTAATGCGTATTTATATCAGAAACGACCACTGCAGCGACAACTGTTATCACAACGACATCACATCCTACGACAGTAGCAACGTCTACGTCGACAGGTATACACAACTGCTTTGGGCCAGGACATGCAATCGTGCTATAATATAACATTGCTACTGTGTACACATTTATAGTATTTTGCCATTTGATTGAAGATAAACGTACATATATCTGTGCTTTATGTATCTGGTAAATAAAAAAACAAATATGGTTGGAATGAAACACGAAAACAGTTTACCTCATAATAATTAATTCTTTGCATCAGCAACGACGACCGCAACGACCATTGCGTCATCAACTACACCAACACCCACACTTACAACCTCTACATTCCCAGGTATGATGATGATTCGGATTATGATACAACCATGATTATGTAGTAGTTTATTGCGTTAGTATTTACACGTCGCATATTTCTTCAAAAAGTTAAAGTGCCTAAGTCGAAAACGTTGTATAATTTGGCTTTTTATGTAATGCATCTCCCAATAATATAAGCACTGTATTTCCAAAAATGTATTTCTATCAGAAACGACCACTTCAACGACAACTGTTACAACGACATCACATCCTACGACAGTAGTAACGTCTAAGTCGACAGGTATAGACAACTGCTTTGGGCCAGGACATGCAATCATGCTATAATATAACATTGCTACTGTGTACACATTTATATTATTTTTCCGTTTGAAGAAAAACGTAAATAATTCTTGGCATGTCAGCTCCATAAATGTGCTTCTAAGTTTCACCAATATGGTAAACGTCAATAGTCAACATTGGTCTTTCCTCCCATGTCAAGCACTCACGCCGTGATATAACTGATATCCTGTCCAACGCGACGTTAATTTAAAACCAATCTCACTCACTCATATAATGCATAATTATTGAAAGATTAAAGTGATTAAATATTTTTTCAATGCATGCTTATAATAGTTTATTGCGTTAGTATTTACACGTCTCATATTTCTTCAAAGACTTAATAAAGTGCCAATGTCGAAAACGTTGGATAATTTGGCTTATAATGCAATGCATCTCCCATTAATATAAGCACTGTATTTCCAAAAATGTATTTCTATCAGAAACGACCACTGCAGCGGCAACTGTTACACCAACGACATCACATCCTACGACAGTAGCAACGTCTACGTCGACAGGTATACACAACTGCTTTGGGCCAGGACATGCAATCATGATACAAATTTATATAACAATGCAATTTTATTGTAACGAACATAAATCTGTGCTTTATGTATCAAGTAAAAAAAATTGGTTGGAATGTAACACGGAGATAGTTAACCTCATTATAATTAATTGTTTGCATCAGCAACGACGACCGGAACGACCATTGCTACATCAACTACACCAACACCCACAACACTTACATCCTCCATGATGATGATCCAGATTATGATACCCATCCAAGATCATGTTAAAAGACTTGTTAGGACCCTCAGTACTGTTTATAGTCCGATGCCACAGCACATGTCCAGGTGCAAATATCATATACAGGTGTGTGTGTGCGTGTGCCTGTGCGTGTGTGTGTGCGTGCGTGCGTGTGTGTGTAAGGGGGAGGGGGGGTTGGGTGGAGGCGTGTGTTATAATTCCTGGCCTGTCAGCTCCATACATGTTCTTATAAGTTTCACAAAAGAGGTATAGTCTAAAAGTTTGCTTCGGGCTTCCTCCCGTATTAGGCTGTCATGACGTGATATAACTTTAATATTGTCCAACGCGACGTTAATTTAAAAAACATTTCATACGGAATGCATATTGTAAGATTAATGTAATTATATATTTTTGTCAAGTCATGCTAATAGTAGTTTTTAGCGTAAGTAAGTGCATCTCATAGTTCTGTAAAGAACTGAAGCAATGCCTAAGTCGAAAACGTTGCATATTGTGGCTTTTAAAGTTCTTCATCTCCGAATAATATAAGTAATGCGTATTTATATCAGAAACGACCACTGCAGCGACAACTGTTATCACAACGACATCACATCCTACGACAGTAGCAACGTCTACGTCGACAGGTATACACAACTGCTTTGGGCCAGGACATGCAATCGTGCTATAATATAACATTGCTACTGTGTACACATTTATAGTATTTTGCCATTTGATTGAAGATAAACGTACATATATCTGTGCTTTATGTATCTGGTAAATAAAAAAAACAAATATGGTTGGAATGAAACACGAAAACAGTTTACCTCATAATAATTAATTCTTTGCATCAGCAACGACGACCGCAACGACCATTGCTTCATCAACTACACCAACACCCACACTTACAACCTCTACATTCCCAGGTATGATGATGATTCGGATTATGATACTCAACCATGATAATGTAGTAGTTTATTGCGTTAGTATTTACACGTCGCATATTTCTTCAAAAAGTTAAAGAGCCTAAGTCGAAAACGTTGTATAATTTGGCTGTATAATGTAATGCATGTCCCACTAATATAAGCACTGTATTTCCAAAAATGTATTTCTATCAGAAACGACCACTTCAACGACAACTGTTACAACGACATCACATCCTACGACAGTAGTAACGTCTACGTCGACAGGTATAGACAACTGCTTTGGACCAGGACATGCAATCATGCTATAATATAACATTGCTACTGTGTACACATTTATATTATTTTTCCGTTTGAAGAAAAACGTAAATAATTCTTGGCATGTCAGCTCCATACATGTGCTTCTAAGTTTCACCAATATGGTAAACGTCAATAGTCAACATTGGTCTTTCCTCCCATGTCAAGCACTCACGCCGTGATATATCTGATATCCTGTCCAACGCGACGTTAATTTAAACCCAATCTCAGTCACTCACGTAATGCACATTGACAGATTAATGTGATTAATTAATATTGTCAATGCATGGTAATATATACATGTAGTTTTTTACGGAAGTATGTACACTTCTCATATTTCTTTAAGTAATTGATAAAGTGCAAAGGTTGAAAACGCTGGATACTTTGGCTTATAGAGTAATGCATCTCCCATTAGTATAACTAATGCGTATTTATATCAGAAACGACCACTGCAGCGACAACTTTTATAACAACGACATCACATCCTACGACAGTAGCAACGTCTACCTCGACAGGTATACACAACTGCTTTGGGCCAGGACATGCAATCATGATATAATAAAACATTGCTACTGTGTACACATTTATTTTATTAGTATTTTGCCGTTTGATTGAAGATAAACTGTTCTTAATGTATCTGGTAAATAACAAAATAATTGGTGGGAATGTAACACGAAAACAGTTTACCTTATTATAATTAATCGTTTGCATCAGCAACGACGACCGCAGCTACCTTTGTTACATCAACTACACCAACACCCACAACACTTACAACGTCTACATTTCCAGGTATGTTAATGATTATGACTTGCTTTTACATGTGTTTATGCCACCGGTGGGTCAGGATACGCTGAACTTTTCTCAAACACCTGTCACCACCACTACTTTATAGTGATTTATTAACACATGCTTGTGATATGTTATAATGTACGGAATCGTACAGTTGAATCGTTTAGAAGATAGTTCTTATATTAATGGAAACTTTAAGGGATTTGTCTCTTATATTTATCCAAATACCATTGTTGTTCAAATAAATGTTTTAATACTAAAATACTGCCAAGACTGAAAATGTTTGATGGACGGTTATTTCGATATGTTTAATGTTTGCTTTTTGCTGCATTGGTACAACTTAAAAAGTGGCTAACTTGTGTGAACAAGTTAACACAGAGACCGGTCAGTTACTGTAGGAGGGTCGGAGAGACCGGTGGTAGGGTAACAGAAAGGGGGAGTTTAATGTCGCGTTCAAGATTATTGTACTATATATATATATATATTATGTATATATAGCGACGTGCATGTACGTGCGCGTGTGTGTGTGTGTGTGTGTGTGTGTGTGTGTGTGAGAGAGAGAGAGAGAGAGAGAGAGAGAGAGAGAGTAAGAGAGAGTCTGCACAGTCTAGTCAAGACTAATGCTTTATCGCGCTATTCTACTTAAATTAGCTTAGAGGTACAATTAATGAACGAATGCACATCTGACAATACAACCAGGTAAAATATTCTCGCGATATGGTAATGGTGTCTGCACTGTTGTATTGGTTATTTGTATTAATTGTTGTATATAATATAATACCCCCTTCTACTCATCACATCTACTATAATACGTGACTCTCACTTATCTGTATGTCAAGAATATTATGACAATGTCATTATAACGATGTGAAAGCATGCTACTGTTCACCAATCCATGACATATGTATGTGGAAATGGTTTTGTTGCTTTTGTTTATACCATCCATTCATCCCTCCCTCCATCCAATCATCTATCCACTCATCCGCCAGCCACTGTATCCATCCCTGGTGCTATATATGCATGTACCAACTAACCAAAGGAGTCTACCGCACAACCAAACCTGCAGTGCCTACCTTGCAGAAGCTCTACACAAATCAGATGGATTAAAAAAAACCCAGCAACAAATCTAATTACAGTGCTTCATTATCCATATTGTAATCCCGATATACACCATGTAAGACTTTCTTCACTTAGCTGTTGTACTGCCACATAGAATAGATTAACGCCAACAGGGATTTTTGTATTGAGAGAATCATTAAAGTTACATACAAATAATAGTGTTCTGTTTAAAATTTTAAGATTGAGATTTTTAAAATATTTAATAATAATATTTAAATGAAAATAACAATGACATTATGAAGACATGGCATCTTTTATTCTAATACTTCTGTGGCTTATTCATTGTCATAATGCGAACTGACTTTTTTCAGACACAACGACGACGTCAGCACCAACAACCTCCCCAACAACTACCCCAACAACTACCCCAACAACAAATCCAAAACCTTGTTCAATGACAAAATCATCCCGTACGACAGATGGTGCAGTAGATTACAAGGTGTCGCTCGGCAATGCTGACTCCTGCAACAGTATCTGTCTGCACACCAAGACATGCCGCGCCACTACATATACACCAGGCAACTGCACACTCCACTCCCAGACCTTAACAGCAGCTTCAGGGGACATCGTCGACTTCGTCAGGCAAACTTGCAACGACGGTTTGTGTCATTCCTCAATTCCACCCCATATTGACTTTAGAGGTTTCCGGTACACCTTAGCAGAGACAGACACTGTCACTTGTCCGGTAGTCCGAGGCTTGTAACAATATAGACGGACTAGTCCTTTTATAATCAAAACTAAGTATTATATATTAACACTAGTCCGAAATGAGGTGGGGACGAGATGAAGAGGACCTATGTTGTCAACCCCTGCTAAGGGAAGTAACTCTGAAAAACAAATTCCGACGGCTAAGACAACCCGTGCATCACGTTGTTACAATTTGTTTGTTTGTTGTGTACGCCGCACTCAGCAATAGTAGAGCTATATGACAGCGGTCTGTCAATAATCGAATATGGAGCAGACAATCCACCCGACCACCCGATCCCGTTAGTCGCCTCTTACGACAAGCATAGTCGCCTTTTACGGCAAGCGTTGGTTGCTGAAGACCTATTTTAACCCGGATTTTCACGGGTCCATGTTGTTACAAGCAAAGGTGTGAGCAAGAGTGGCCCAGTTGTCTTAGGCGCCGCATTTCGCTGTGCAGAGTTCGTCCCTTGGGCACGACAGAAACCTATGATCGTAGTTCGAATCAGGGTTCGCCACGATTATGTTTCTAGGTTTGTCTGCACCACACCCGTGCTGGAGGGTTTCACCGAAGTGGTAAACGTCTGAGACCTGCATCTCTTCGGGCTTTCCTCCCACATTAAGCTAACACGCCGTTATATAACTGGAATACTGTTCAAAGCGGCGAAAAACCATTCTCACTCACTACAAGCAAACTGTAGAAGGATTGCAATCACAACTCAAGTATCTCCCAATGGCATGGTTACTGTCTGCCATAGAGGCATGTGCCTCACGCGGATTGACGTATGCTGATGAGTGAGTGAGTATGGTTTTACGCCGCTTTAGCAATATTCCAGCAATATCACGGCGGGGGACACCAAAAGTGGGCTTCACACATTGAAGCTATGTCGGGAATCGAACCCGGGTCTTCGGCGTGACGAGCGAAAGCTTTAACCACTAGGCTACCCGACCACCCCTCCGTATGCTGATGACATGGGTCTGTGTTCTAAAGGTACATTCTGCTGCATGAGCTCCGCCACAACACAGAAGACCAATGGTACTCCCCTTCTCTCTATCAGCACAACTGCATCACTAGAGGGATGTGAAGCGATCTGTCTTGCAGTAGCCGACTGTAAGGCCACATACTACAGCGACGAATCCTGCTTCTTCTATACAACTACTCCAACGACAACATCTGACGGACCAATACTTTTCTCCAAGAAGACCTGTCCAGGAGGTAGGATCAACGAGTCGCTTAGATTTAGTTACTTTGTTTTTTCTTTAACGCCGCACTGAGCAATGTTCAGCTATATGACGGCGGTCTATAAATAATGGAGCCTGGGCCACACAATCCAATGATTGACATCATGATCATCGATTTGCACAATTGGGATTCGATGACATTCATTAACCAAATCGGAGAGCCTGACCACCCGATCCCTTTAGCTGCCTCTTACGACAAGCATAGTCGCTTTTAACGTCAAGGATCTCTCGATTCTCTGCCGAAACAGATTATACTGGGCGAAAAGACAAAATAGTGATGAAAATTACATGAATGATTACTCTTTCTTAGTCTTTCTTTCCTGTATACACTGCCGGGCAAAAGAAAGTCCACATTTGCAACCCTTAGGTCCAATACTATGATTTCCGTATCACATACGTAACCATCGCATAACCATTTCTTGTCTGTTTCATTTTTAGCCCCCATCAAGCAAGATGTATATCTTATTTTGCCTGACAGTATATTTCATTTGACTGCGAAAAAAATGAAATCTTTGACGAAATTACTGGAATATAATTTTTAATAACCGGTTATAGCTATATACATGATATTGTACAATCATACATGTAGGTTTATGTTTACGTTATGTACAAATGCAATACACGAAAGTAAACAATCATATTTCTTTCAGACCAAACAAATCATGGACAACTTGCATACGATACTACCTGCGAAGGTAAGATTTTAAACAAATACTCGTTATGGTAATTAAAAAGACAGTATAGGAAGAAGCTATATATTCAGTATTATTTTCGTATATACGGTCAAATATTCTTTTGGATGTAATAGTTTGGGGGTAGTGACATTATTCTTACCCGAGCACAACTGGCATAATCCGTCTTGTTTCTTGGTGTTGAATGCTGTTCGTTCAACGTCACATACGCTATAGAACCAATGAATAATAAACAATTCAACTTGGTATTATTCAACCGAAAATATTGAAATACTGCCATTTAAACATCAAATCTTCTGTAAGGTTGCAAACATATATAATATGCAATGATATAATGAACAATTAAACTTTGAAGGAATATACCAACTTTTCGAGAATAAATATCTTGCATTACAACAAATATATATGATAATTGACGTGATTTCCATAACCATCATATATTTG